AAAAAAAAAAAAAAAGAAAAAAAAATAGAAATAACAATACATTATCTTGTTGAGGTGGGTAAATGCCCTGAAGACTGTTTGCAGACACTCAAAGAAACAAACCTGAGGTCTTCATCAGGAGGGGTCCTGTTTGCTTCTTGGGGTCTCAGAGGCCTGCCAAGCCGGATCCATGCATTCAGAAACTGCTTGTATCAGGCACCTTCCGTGATTAAGGCATCGGCTCCTTCCCGGCAAGGAGGTACAAAGGTTCAAAACAACAGCCTCCTGCTTTCAAGGACCCCAACAGTAGAGATAAGATATGTGTATAAAAATAGCCCCAAAGTGGAACATTCTGGATTGGGCAGTTTAAGAGACAGCTGACTATCATGGGTTTAGGTGGAGGCTGAGCAGGAATCTGCCTGGATAATCCTGAGCTGCCTCTGGACACCTCATTGGATCCACCCTAGTGAAGCCAAGACCCGTTTTTACAGACTCAGATAGATCTCTTTGAGAAGGGCCAAAATGTCATATAAGTTATTAAAATCTCTTTCATAGTGTTGTACATAACCATTAGCATCTTACTTTAAAATCCTTTTTTTGGGGCGGCCGGGTGGCGCAGCTTAAGTGTGTGCTCTCTGCTTTGGCGGCCTGGGGTTCGCCAGTTTGGATCCCTGGCACGCACCGACACATCACATGTCAGGCCGTGCTGTGGCGGCGTCCCATATAAAGTAGAGGAAGATGGGCACGGATGTTAGCCCAGGGCCAGTCTTCCCCAGCAAAAAGAGGAGTATTGGCAGATGTTAGCTCAGGGCCGATCTTCCTCACAAAAAAATAAATAAAGTTTTGAAAAAAAAATAATAAAATCCTTTTTTCAAGTTTTTAACAAAAGCTTTTTAGTGAATTAAGAAATTGCTTTTATTTTTGTGGCTCTCCAAATGATAACCATCCATTTTTATCCGTGCTGGTGGTGAGATTTTGTCTATATTAGGAAGTGGCGCACTGTAGAAGGAACAGGCGAGGCCGAATCCTTTTTCAGCTCTGTGACGTGGTCTCTTCCTCCGTAGCACGAATCTCTGACACTTTCCGTGGGGAAGGAATGAGGTGGAGATTGCAGGCTGGCTGGAGAGGGTCACCCTTAAACCAAGATCAGATCTGGACTTTGCAGCACCTGAGATTTCTCTCATCCTCACCTAAAAGGGACCTTCTAGAACAGTGTTGCCCAGTAGAGCTTTCTGTGGTGATGGAAATGCTCAGTGACAACGAGTGGCTATCAGGCACTTGAAGTGTGGTCATCTGGCTAAGGAACTGAATTTTTAATTTCATTTAATTTTAATTAATTTAAAATTTTAAAACTTCCATATTAAACAGTACAGTTCTCAGCCAAAAAGCTACAATTATACTGAACTTAAGTGTTCTGAGTGAGTGTGGGCTCTGAAGACCACGTCTGTGGGTATAAGTGAGGCCCTGGCTGACCCCAGATTGGCGCTGCAGGGGAGTCCCCCAGCACGACGACCTTTAGCCTCGAGTGTCCTCTTCCTGCCCCCAACACGTCAGCTCCTCAGTGCTGTGGGACCCCCAGGGGAAGGCTGCAGGGTCTTGGGTTGGTTCTGAGGTGCTCACATTGCACCTCAGGAGTGTCCTGGAAAAGGTCCCTGGAGCCAGCCAGAACTGTGCCTGGAAGGCCGTGTGGCCAGGGCTCAGCCAGCTTGGCGGGCCACTCTCCTGTGGATGAATGAGCCCACAGTGGGGCCACTTTCCAGGATGGCCGGGGACCGGCTCTCAGCCACCCCGGCCGACTTCCACCCTCTCAGCTAAACTGGGCCTGTTTTCAGGGAGCATTGATTCCATCTCTACGTCCACTTACTTTCTGTTGGGAATGATTTACGAAGGAGACAAAACGATTGTATCGTGTGACGCATTTGGGGACCTTGTGGGAAAACAGGCTGAAGGCTGTTTGCTCACTTGGAGGGGTTGGCAGTGGAGGGAGAGGATTTGTTTGGGCCCCATGCCAAGGCCAGGCAGAGTGCTCTGCTGTCTCCAAAGAGTTGACTCTGGGGAGCAGGTGACTTCAGGCCTAATTTTCACTCCTCTCCTCTAGAGAGATCCGCGGCCTCCAGGGCCCTGCGCTCATTGGCTGCTGGGGGACTCACGGTGGGCGGACTTTCTCAATTAAGTAAGAGGGCAGGGCTTCGGGAGCCAATGACAGCCGCGCCCCAGCAGGGCTTGTGCAAGTTTGCCGGGCCAGGCAGCATTCCCATCCTCGCCGCCGGAACTTGCTGAGCGCCTGGCTCCCCGTCACCATGCTCTGCCTGTGCCTGTATGTGCCGCTCATCGGGGAGGCCCAGACCGAGTTCCAGTACTTTGAGTCCAAGGGGCTTCCCGCCGAGCTGAAGTCCATCTTCAAACTCAGTGTCTTGATCCCCTCGCAGGAGTTCTCCACCTACCGCCAGTGGAAGCAGGTCTGTGCGGGGCCGCGTCAGGCTGTGAAGGGCAGGGCGCGCTGCAGCGGTGTGGCTGAGTGAATGGATGAGTGGTGGCAGAGGGTATGCTTGCATGGAATGTCCCCACCGTGCCACCCACCGAGGGGAAAGAATGTCTGAAATGTGCGAGTGCTTTCCCCATTGTCATGAGGCTACAGCCCATGAAAGGGTGACGTCACGGGAATGCTTGGCTTTCATGTGACTCCCAAGGAAGGCTAGAATTATAGGGAAGGCACTTGTGGGAGATGGAAAGGAATTCTCTTGCGGGGGTGGATTCCTCAGAAGTACAGGGCCGGGAAAGGAGGACAGTCCAGCTGCTGTGAGGCTGTTTCTCTGAGCTGGGGGCCAGAGGCCAGGAGGGCACGGGAAGGGAGATGCAGAGAGGCCCCATGCTGGGGGCCCAGGAGTGGGACCCTTAGCTGCAGAGGCTGGTGCAGAGGCTGGAGCTGGCAGCGCTGTGCCCTGGGTGAAACAAGCCAACATGCAGAGGTGGGGGGAGCCTTCCCCGACATCCCTTTGGAGCAGGGAGGCAGCAGAAACTGTTCCGGTTTTAAAGATGAGGAAACAGCTCCAGAGTCTGGGAGGGCCGTTTGCCTCCTAAAGGGGCCTCCCAACTTCTCTGTTAATCAGATCCCATGCTGTCCCCCAGCGCCCCTGGTGTCAGTGGTGGTCAGATGGTGATTTGCATAGCCTGTGAAGGAGACGAAGTGGGCCTGCTCATTCTGAGGTAGAAGCAAAGACTTGGAGAATATTTTGAAATCAGCCTCAATGAGCCCATCCTTGGGTGTCTGTAACACAGGGCACCCACCCCACTAAGGCGCATGGACTGTGTTGGTGGCAGAGCAGCCCAGATATCAAAGAGCTTCGTGCCTAACGTTTGCCTCCACCCTAAATGGCATGTAGATTCTATTTCCGCTCCTGCCATAAATCAGTGATAACCCTATACGTAATGTGCATCATTCTTGGCTGAAAGCACAAATGTCTGCAGGAAGTTAACATAACTCCAGACAGCAGATAAAATACGGACCAGCACCTGTCTCATGTTCCAGCCACACACCCCACATTGTTCTTTGGATCATGTTGGGTGACACAGTATCTGCCCAGGCCTCCTCCTACCACCCTTAGTGGCTGAGCAATCACAAAGAGCCATCAGGAGGTTCAGAGTGACCGTGATTGTAATCGTTGGAGAGTGCCAGCTGGCCAACGGTCCGTCCATTTCCAAACCCGCTGGCTCAGAAGACTTTGAAACCCATATTGGTGTGTGGATAGTGAATGTATTTCTTACTGAGAGAATTGGGCAACACAGGAAGACTATAATCATTTTCCTTAGGAAATTCTCGGTCCTAGTTTTGGGGTGTTGCTGGGTTGGAATGACTCATGTGTGTCCCTTACCTTCTTGAGATTATCCTTTCGGGTGGCAGCAGGATCTCTAGGGAGGTGGCTCTGGGGTCCAAGGCCTAGCTTGAATCCTGCCTACCACTTCCCTAGCTGTGTGACCTTAGGTAAATTACTTAACCTCTCTGAGCTTCTGTTTCCTTCTCTATAAAACTGGTGGGAGTGATGGTACCTACCCTCTAGAGCTGTTTGAGAAGATTCACCAGGTCATTAGAGGTAAAGCCTTTAGCAGGACCTGCGGCACAGGCCAAGTACTTGCCCTTTTGTGGAAAACTTCCAGTTGCTGAGCATCCAAAACTGACTGCAGCTACTGAACGAAGCTCACCTCTAAGGGCAGGCGTGGTTTTGGAACCTCACTGCCGAGGAGCAACATGGCTTCAAGTCGTCTGGAGTCACTAAACTGTTACTAAGCAGAGCTGTCCTGCTTGTCAGTGCGTGGTTGCAGGAGCTGAGGCTGGTTTTATCATCCTGCTCCCCGGAGAGCCGAGACTGGCAGTGCCGTCGAGCCCACGTCCTGTAGTTCCCGTGGCTCTTGCTGCTCCTCCAGCCTCCAGAGTTCTCTCTGGCAGTGTTTTGGCCAAGTAGGCATTGACAGAGGCCAGCGCTGCCCCATACCTTCACCCTGGCCACCCAGTTGTTCTTGGGCCAACGCCGCTTTTAGGGATAACAAGAGCAGGCTGCAGAGTTCCCGGTGGAATCTGGAGCTCCAAGGCCGTCCCCGCATTTGAGCAGAGGGCGTGTGAGGCTGAGGCCTGGTGCCGGGGCCAGCGCGCAGGGGAGCCAGGCGGCTGACCCTGGCGCTATAACAAGCTGGCTTCAGAACGCTTGAGATGAGAAAGCGCCAGGCCCCGCACTGTTGGCCTCCATCTGACGGGCTTCTCCTGGGGGATCCTTTGTCCTCTGCTGTGAGGGAAGCACAGTGGGCTCCTACTTGGGCTCCGGCCTGCCCTTGTGGGGGATCCAAGTGGTGCTTTGGGAGTAGAGCAGGGGAAGCATCTCGGGTCGTTGGGGCCACCTCGGCTCACGGGTTAGCACAGTTGTTTCCTGGGGACAAGGAGAAGCTGATGCCTGACCAACAGGACAAACCTTACTTGTTTTTTACAGAAAATCGTACAAGCTGGCGATAAAGACCTCGATGGGCAGCTAGACTTTGAAGAGTTTGTCCATTATCTCCAAGATCACGAGAAGAAACTGAGGCTGGTGTTCAAGAGTTTGGACAAAAAGAATGATGGTGAGTGTCGCCTCCAGAGCCAAGGCTGACGGGGTCTCGGTCCTCTCCAGGGGTCTGGCTCCTGGCTCACAGCCGTCGTCGTTGCAGGACGAATCGACGCTCAAGAGATCATGCAGTCGCTGCGGGACCTGGGAGTCAAGATATCTGAACAGCAGGCAGAAAAAATTCTCAAAAGGTGAGTGCTTAGCCAGCTTCTGTATTTGATTTAATGAACATGTGATGAAAGAAAAGTTCTTGGAGCAATTCTGCGGCGTCATTCACTGTATTGACCCCGTTTCTCCGAACTTTGGCCTCTGGTGGTTTGAAGGGATGAATAAGTAACTCCTCCCCGAGAGCAGCCGCTGCCCGGGTTCCAGGTCAGCTCTCATCTGAAGAATCACCCGGAAGTGTGCCCACTCCCGGTGACCCTTGAAGAGAATCACTAGCTGGGGGGTTTCCAGTAGGTGAAAGAGGAGCGAGGGGCACCCTTCTCTGCCTGGTCGTGAAGGGGAAGGGCTCACAGGGCGTAGCTCCACCCCGAGGATGGTAACTTGCTCTTAACCACGAGAGACAGCCCGTGGGCGAGCTGTGGTCCTGGGGGTAGCGTAGTTGTTGCTGTGCTGGGAAATCGCACAGGAGAGCCCTGGGAGCAGCTTCCTCTCCTGGCTTAGCCTTTCCGAATCCCTGGGGCCTGAAGCCGGCTGGTCAGGGCCAGCGGCTCTGACACTGCTGCCCGGGCGCTGTGGCGTGCGCATCCTCGTGCTGCGCTGTGCTGTGCTGTGCTGTGCTGTGCGCTCACCTCACTAACATCCGCTCAGAGCACTTACTGGTGTTGTTTCTCCTCTCTCCTCTGCGTCCTCCTTTGTCTGTCTGTCAGAATACGAACGGGCCACTTCTGGGGCCCTGTCACCTAGTAAGTATCCGTGTCACCCCGGTGACTGCATCCCTCCCTCCTTGACCTCTGTGCCTGATTAGAATGGGGTTCTTGTGGGCCATTATATCCCTTTTTTTGTGCAAAGTGGGGTGTGGAGCCACCTTGCCCTCTCTCCTCGGGCAGACGCACCTTCTGTGGTTTCCTTCATGGCCACACACCTGCCCTTGGCTCTCCTGGAGGTGGGAAGTGTGGCTGACAGATGGGGCCTGTTTACATGTGGGCGACGGTGCATGTGTCTTGCAGCATGGATAAAAACGGCACGATGACCATTGACTGGAACGAGTGGAGAGACTATCACCTTCTGCATCCTGTGGAGAATATCCCCGAGATCATCCTGTACTGGAAGCATTCCACGGTGAGTCCCACACTCCCGGGGCCTGAAGGCAGTTTCACCCGGTCCGTTCACGGGTACCCTTTACCCAGCATCAGTCCCCATCCCGGGGTGGGGGTGGGGGTTCCCGGCGGGCCTCCTCTTCAACAGTGAGACTGTCCACTCCTCTGCCAACCCCACAGAGCCCTCCACATGCTCCCTGCATTTCCCACACGCCGGCCAACCTGAAGGGCCTGGCCATTCCCCAAACACAAGGTGGCCCTGCCGGAAATGATGCCCTCCTGTCCCCAGGTGCAGCCTGTTCCAGGTCCACCTCAAACACCCTCCTCCTGACCCTGCTTGTTCTCCCAAGGCCAGCGGGAGCCTTCGTCCTGGGAGCGGGGCAGCAGCCACTGTCTAGAGAGCAGATGGTGGAGCTGTTAGGATTCCCCCACCGCCCATTTTCTGGGTCGTTTCTCTTGGCACACATCCTGCTTTTTCACCCCTGTCAGAGCTGTCATTCAGAAATACAGAGCTGCGCCCTCACTGGTCGTGGCCACATTGGCCGCCGCCTACGAGCCCCCTTCATGTGGGGTGTGGCCCTCTCTGCTGGTCCTTGCTGAGTTCCCCCTTGGTTTGCAGTACTATCCACCCCAGACTTTCAGCTGAGGGAGGGAGGCCAGGGCTGTCCCCCTCATCTGTCTCCTGCAGTGCCCAGGCCAGGGCCTCACCCTCAGGGGACACCTGGTGTCTTTGCTGGGTGAAACTAAGTGGACCGCTTCAGGAGTAGGAGCAAGGTGACCCGTGGGTCTGGCCTGCAGCCCCGGGTCGGAGCAGAGCTAGCTCTGTCTGAGCAGTCAGGATGCTGCCCAGGAGAGAGGGTGTAGGCATCGCAATCTCTTGTATTTGCCGAGGCCTTGCACGATGTTCTGCCAGCCTGATCTGGTTACACATCAGATTTTAGAAGAATTTTTACCCCTGACTTGACCCTTTCAGTACAGCCAGCCTGGTGATCCTCAGCTGAGATGCCTCCGTAAGCTGTTGCAGGAGCTCCCTGGCAGTCACGGGAAGGGCTTCCTGGATGGTTTCTTCCGGCTGTGCTCTCCGATCCTGTATCTGGGCCTCGCCAAGGCCACCCACAGGATCAGAGCTTTGCCACCTTCACATAGGGAAGGGGAGGGGGCGCATCACTTCCCCACCCAGAGTCCTTGGCATTCTCCCGATCTGTGTGGTCCCCCGGGGTGTGGGCCGTTCTGGGTGGTGGAAGGCTGTGGCCCCGGCTGTCTGCCGGCAGCTTCACCATGTTGTCAGGGCCTGCTTGTTTTATCTCTGCTGATCTTCCTCACAGATCTTTGATGTGGGCGAGAATCTGACGGTCCCCGATGAGTTCACCGTGGAGGAGAGGCAGACGGGGATGTGGTGGAGACACCTCGTGGCCGGAGGCGGGGCAGGGGCTGTCTCCAGAACATGCACGGCCCCTCTGGACAGACTCAAGGTGCTCATGCAGGTAGGCAGGAAAATGGGCCCGGTGCCACCTGGTGTCCACCCTGGGGTTCCTTGGAGGGTTGCTTTCCCCTCCTTGTCTGGGGCTTGCTTTGGGCCCATACTTTCCTAGTCTAATAAATGAGACTGAAATTATTGCACAGATAAGGGTAACATTAGATCCAGGCCTAAGTGACCTTTTGCACACAGCTGATCTAATTTTATCCGAGGCCCTTACACCAAGGGTCACATTCCTGGGCCATAATGTGGACAGGTGAAGCCAGTGAGAAGTGGGGTGTGGCAGGAGCCTGTTCCCTTAGGAGCATCTTGTGTAGGGTGTCACACTGGGCAGTGTGAGCGGATCCTCATGGGGCCCCAGCACCATTACCTTGGCCAGGTGCCCGACTCCACATCTAGAGGACAGAGGTAAGCTAGACTGATGTCAGGGGCAGGGTTGTGAAATCAGCCTGCACGAGGACACACCACTGGACTTCAGTGTCGTCCGAACAGTGGCCAGTCACCCCCTTGTCCCCTTGCTTGTGTTCTGGCGTTTTTTGTGCCGGAGCCCTGCTCAGAAAGAAGTCATCCTTTCCCTTCCCCTTTACCCTCCTGGGCCTGCCTTGGTTTGAAGCTGTTGGTGGATAAGTGTGAGCCCCCTTCTTGTGCTGAAACAGGGGAGTGAGTGCTTCAGGGTGAAGAGCTCTCAGCATGGAATCTGACCCAGGTCCCTCCCTCACGGTCCTGTGACCTGGGGCAAGTCGCTTCACCCCCAGGACTTCATTCCTCTGAACCTAGGGGACTTGAACACATTGCCCCATCAGTTTGTTTTTCTTAACCCAATTCCCAGGAATGCTGTAGAGGTTAAAAGCAGTCTTTAGGTGAAATGACACACCTGGGATGTGATTCAAAGTATTCCAGCAGAGGTGGGGGCAGCACGGGGACTCATGGTTTGATGATTGTTGGAGCTGATTGTGCGTTCACGGAAGCTCATTTTATAATTCTCTGTACTTTTGTACCCGTTTGAAATTTTTCTGTAATAAAAAGCTCTTAATTTTTTATTTTAAAAAATAATTCTTGTGGAGGTGTTCAGCACGATATTGGCACACAGTAGGTGCACAGAGAAATCGAGTTGGACCTAGAGTAGCCATGTTTGAGTCTCAGGGCTGAGTTGAGTTCTCTCTGACCCTTGTCCTTCCCTCCTCAGGTCCATGCCTCCCGCAGCAACAACATGTGCATCGTGGGTGGGTTCACCCAGATGATTCGAGAGGGAGGGGCCAAATCCCTCTGGCGGGGCAACGGCATCAACGTCCTCAAAATTGCCCCCGAGTCGGCCATCAAATTCATGGCCTATGAGCAGGTGAGGACCCGGCTCCCCAGGGAGAGTCGCCAATTGGCAGCTGCTAACTGAGCTCCCCCTGGAAAGAGGTCCCTGCCCTGCTGATGCCCCGGAACCTGGAGCCAGTCATTGTACCCAAGGGAGAGCAGGGCGAGGCGGGAGGTGGGAGGCCTGGGTCAGACTCCAGCTCCACTGCTGGTTCCACTGTGGGCTGGTTCTTTCCATTTTTGGGCAGCGTCAGATGTGCCAGGACCACCAGGTCTCGGCTCACCCTGATTGGCTCCATGAGGGTGGGGGGCAGGAGCGGGCACACTGGTTTCCGGGGTCTATCAGTTCGTTTGCTCTCTGTTCTAGATCAAACGTCTTATTGGGAGTGACCAGGAGACTCTGAGGATTCACGAGAGGCTTGTGGCAGGGTCCCTGGCGGGGGCCATCGCCCAAAGCAGCATCTACCCAATGGAGGTGAGGGCCACGTTGGTCCTGGGGCGGGCAGTGCGCACACGTGTGAGGGTGGGGGGTGGGCTGTGCTCATGCTTCCCTCGTTCCTGTTGGGTTCTGCAGGTTCTGAAGACTCGGATGGCCCTACGCAAGACAGGCCAGTACTCGGGCATGCTGGACTGTGCCAGGAAGATCCTAGCCAGAGAGGGGGTGGCCGCCTTCTACAAAGGCTATGTTCCCAACATGCTGGGCATCATCCCCTACGCCGGCATAGACCTGGCCGTCTACGAGGTGAGGTCTTAGGGGGCTCAGGCCCCTTGAACAGCAAGAGAGGTTCAGAGAAAACCCCTGCTGGCCACGCCCGTGCATGTCGTCTCCCTGCCTGACAGACCATTGGGCATGATTGGGACAAGGAACATACCAAAGTGTCTCCTTCCAGGCTCATCTGTTTATTGCGAGGATCTCCTGTCACACTGCCTGCCCCTGGCAGCCCACAGGTTCTGCACCCCCAGGGGCTCGGCAGGCAGATCACTGGAGTCCAGTGCCATGGGGGATCCCTTAGCCCCCAGCAGACTGGAGACTGCAGAAGTCAGGCTCTTTGTTGGGAGAAGGGGGTGCCACCCCTGCCTCATCCTGTCCTATCCAGGAATCCCCGTTGACAGCAGAAAGAAAGGGCAGGCAGGCCACGAGCTCAGCAAGCCCCAGGTCAGCCGAGGCCCAGCGAGTCAGGTTACAGTGGCCTTGCGGATCCCATGTGATGATGAGGAAAGGCCTCCTGTGTGGATCCGATAACTGCCCCCCCCAGCCCCCCAGTCTCTCACTGCCTCACAAGCTCTTCCTGGGGCTCACAGGCCCTTTGGCTCATCCCAACCCCCCTTTCCCGTTCCAGACGCTGAAGAATGCCTGGCTGCAGCGCTATGCAGTGAACAGCGCGGACCCCGGTGTGTTTGTGCTCCTGGCCTGTGGCACCATGTCCAGCACCTGTGGCCAGCTGGCCAGCTACCCACTGGCCCTGGTCAGGACCCGGATGCAGGCCCAAGGTAAGGCTGGTCCCAGGCCAGTTCCCAGGGCCCCGTCTCCCCGGGTGGGTTGGGAATGAAGGAGGAGCTGGGGAAAGGCCTCTGATGGGCGGCCTTTCTCCCTGCAGCCTCCGTTGAGGGCGCTCCAGAGGTGACCATGAGCAGCCTCTTCAAACAGATCCTGCGGACTGAGGGGGCCTTTGGTCTGTACCGGGGGCTGGCCCCCAACTTCATGAAGGTGATCCCAGCCGTGAGCATCAGCTATGTGGTATACGAGAACCTGAAGATCACGCTGGGCGTGCAGTCGCGGTGACGGGGGCGAGGGCAGCCCCGCCCACGGACTTGCTGATCCTGGGCCTGCGGCCCCGGGATGTGTAGCCATCTCATTCTGTGAATGTGTCAACACTACGCTGACTGAAGCCAAGCTGTGAAACCCTGGATGCGGCTGCAAGGGAGGGGGAAGAGCTGGCAGGCCTGCCGGGTTTGTCCTGCTGACCCTGGTGTTCGTCCCAGGGAAGACCCATGGCTATTCCTCCAGGTCCGGGGGTCAGCAGGACACAGGCTGTCGTGCATGGGGACAGGACGTTTCCTGCAGTGCCTGCCGAATAGCAGGGCTCAGATGCCGGCTTAGTTCTTCCATCCCCTCTCAAAGCCAGGCCACCGGCCGCAGGCCTTGCCCCTTGGCCTGCTGGGGGTCTTCCCCAGGCCCTCTTTGCTTCCATCCTCGCTGCTGTTTTAACATGGTAGGAGGGGGGCTCCCAGCCCACTCCCACGCCCCTCCTCACTCCTCTCCCCTCTGTCCGTGGGGACAGGTCGTTCCACCCGACTTTACCAGCCCGACTTCCTGACCTACAGCGTTGCTGCTGGCTATGTGGTGCAGGGAGGAGGGAGGAGTCTGGCTTTTGTGCTCATCCTGGTCTGAGCCCACTGTTGGCTTCTGAGCTCACCAACAGAGGGGCCCTGGATGTGCGTGTGCATGCAGAGGGGCAAGGCCAGCCCCGCCCTTGGCTGCCTGGCGTCCTGGCGCATGGCTTCCCGGAAGGCGGGTGCTGGGTCCTGGGGCCCAGAGGGCCTGTGCTCCCTGCTGCTGGGAGCCTCGTGGTGCTCTGAGCTGGCCCCGGACTCTGTCAGGACTGGCACCAGCTCAGAACCAACTCCCTGCACCCCTCGGGCATGAGGGCAGTAGGGCATCGTGTTGTAGCGGGAGGGCAGTTCCTGCCCCTGTCTGCGAGCCCTGGTGAGGGAAGGAAAAGGTGTTAAAGGCCTTAATTATGTATTTTTGGGAAAAGGGTTTTGTTCAGAAAGACAAGCTGGGCACATGTGCAAGTTCTCTGCTTCCAGAGAGAAGACAAAGGAGTAGGCGGCTTGGCTGACCGACCGCATTCAAGTCTGTTTCTGACGCCCCTGGGGTTGTGTCCGATCCCGATGGGGTAGAGTGGGACCAGCCTCACATTCCACTGGTGCCGCGTATCACAGTGCTTGGAGCTTATTTATTTTGTATTTATTTGAACAGAGTTATGTCCTAACTATTTTTATAGATTTGTTTAATTAATAGCCTGTCATTTTCAAGTTCATTTTTTATTCATATTTATGTTCGTGGTTGACCGTACCTTCTCAGCACCGCGGTGTGGGGTGGGGAGAGGAAGGAGGCGCCGTGGGAGGGACCCTCTCACCACTGCCCACACCGACGTCACGTCTGTCCAAAGAAATTCCCCTTGGAACTGGCGACAGAGAAGAAGGGCAAGAAAGGGGCCCTGATCCTGGAGAGAGAGATGTCCTTTGGCAGGTCGGGGCAGGGCTGGCACCCCTGAAGCCTGAGGATCTGATGGGGGCGAGGAGAGGGGGAGAAACCTCCATTCCATTGAAAATGGAAATCCAAATCCTTTCTTGGACTGGAGGATTTCTTTATTTTACCCTTTTTGAATGACTAGGCAGTGAGGGGCCTATCACTGTGAGTTTGGGGTGGGGGCCTAGAGGAGAGGGCGGCCAGCCCCCCGCCCGCCCCTATGAAGTGGGCTCCGCCCCGTCGCAGGCCCCCGCTGCCCCTGCTCAATCATGCTGGTCACCTCGAAGCCCCACAGCTGCACTTCATTCTGCCAGAAGGGCTGATGAGGACAAGTGAAATAGGACGCAAAGATCAATGCAAACGTTACTGTTATATAGAAATAGAGTTATAACTGGAATTTGTGAAAAAGCAAATTACAAAAGAATTGGAAGTTGTCGTAAAAAACAGCCTTCTAATAAAGTTGTTTCAAAGCTGATGACAGAGCCATCACTTTTCTGACCTGGGCTGGGGTGGCATGGGGGCGTTTCATGTTAGAAAGTGAATCCAGTTTTCTGGTTAGAGAAGATGAGAAACCTACCTCTTCTCGGAGCGGCTGCCCCGTGGGCTTCCAGGGGGTACTCCCTCTTTAGAATGGATGTTGGTTGGATTTGGGGTGCTCTGACCAGGTCACCAGGGCCCTCTGAGTTGCTGAGCCTGGTGGTCCTGCCTCAGCCCTCATCCAGTCCAGCCCATCGTGGGCAGAGCTGGTCACTGCCTCCTGCCTGAAGCACCACCCTCCCGTGGCCTCCAGACACCCCTGTACTTCTCTCCACCTCACTGGCTGCTCCTGCCAGCCTCAGGTTTGTTCCTGCCCATCTTTCTGACGTGGAGATGTTGGGGGCCCCTCCTGACATTCCTTATGTGCTTTCTGCCTGTCTCCCCAGGAAAGTGTGAGGCCTCTGGGGACAGGGAAGGTGTTTGAAGTTGTTATGTCCAGAGCCTAAGACAGTGCCTGGTGCACAAAGTGCTCGATATAATGTTCGTTAGATAACTGTCCACACTTCAGTCCCCTGATGGCCCTGGCGCCACAGGTCCGGGCTGGCAGGCAATAGTATGAAGCAACTGGGGAGCCCTCTGCGGCTCTGCCATTCAGAGGCTGTACAGAGGCACGGAAGAGTGCCATGTGTGACACTGGCATATACCACTTGTACTGGGTTAACTAGTGTCCCCCCAAATTCGTGTCCACCCAGAACTTTAGAATGTCACCTGATTTGGAAATACAGTTTTTGCGGATGTAATCCAGTTAAGATGTCACACTGGATTAGGGTAGGCCCTAAGTCCAATGATGGGTGTGCTTATAGAAGAGGGAAATTTGGACACAGGGAGAATGCCATGTGACCACAGACGCAAAGGCTGGAGTGAGGCAGCTGCGAGTCAAGGACCACAGGCGGCCACCTGAAGCTAGGAGAGAGGCACAGAACAGTTTCTCCCTCATACCCTCCAGATTTCAGACTTCCTGGATTTCAGACTTGCAGCCTCCTGAACTGCTAGAGAATCAATTTCTGCTGCTTTAGGACATCCCACTTTGTGGTGACAGCAGCCCCAGGAAGCTAATATGCCACTCGCCTCAGTTGTTCATTACCGGGGTGACGGGCATAGACCCAACCATTGGGTCCTGGCAAATTGGCCCCCCCATCCCTAACCTGCCATCCCACCTTGTCCAGGCTTCCCCTTGGGGTGGTGGCCTGCGGACCCTTCCAGGTCCTCAGTTCCATCCGGCGGGAGAGGGGCTTCTCCAGCATGAAAGTTGACGGGGGCAGGTGCTCTGAGCAGGGTGGAGCGCGGAGCCTCACCTTACTACGCTTGTCTCCTTTGTTCCTTCACCCCTCCTTCCGGTCTTTGCTCACGTATCACCTTCACACGAGACCTTCTCTGACCACCCCATTAAAATGGCAGCCCGCTCTCCCCACCCAACCTAGCTGATTCCCCATCCCGTTTTTTGTCCCTAGTATTGTCGCCATCCACTATACTGCTTGCTGTCAGTCCTGGTTAACCGTCTATTTCCTCCCATGTGATTGTCAACTCCGGGAGGTTAGGGGGTACTTGGCTTTCTTCACTGCTGTTCCCAGTAAGTGCACGGCACCCACCAGGTGCCTAATGAATTGTTACTAGTTGCTTGAAACCCATCCACATCTTCCACGGTGTGGTTGGTGGAATTATGCCCTCTCAAAGATCGCCAGAACCTGTGAATTAGGTTACAGGGTAAAGGGGAATTAAGATTGCAGATGGAATTAAGGTTGCTAATCAGCTGACCTTAAAATAGGGAGGTCGTCCTGGATTATCCAGGTGAGCCCAGTGTAACCACAGATCCTTCAATGTGAGAGAGGGAGGCAGGCAGAGAGCCAGGGAGATGGCACGAGAAGTACTCAGCCCAGGTTGCTGGCTTTGAAGATGGAGGACAGGGCCACAAGCCAAGGAATGCGGGCGGCCTCCAGGAGCTGGAAAAGGCAAGGAACAGATTGTCCCCAGAGCCTCCCGAAGGACACCTTGATTTTCACCCCATAAACCGCGTTTCAGACTTCTGACCTCCAGACTGGCCTGGGAGGGCTGTTGGAAAGTTGAAACAGACAGGAAATGGTCCTTAATAAACAGCATTATCTCCCAGCTCCCCTCCCCTAACCAGGATTCCAAACATGCAGAGTAATTTCCCCCTGAAATGCTTCTCATTCCGGCCTCCCGGGCGAGGAGGTCATGTGGGCCTGGGATCGCTGGCATCTGAGACGAAATCTGAAGCCAACCCCTGGGGGCTGGGGAGCCACCAGTGCTGTGGGATCTGGCCAGGTCTCTGCGCCTCTTTCCTGAAGCTAGACCCTTTCGTCTCTTAATGCTGAGAGCGCCATTTATGGAGCGCCAGCTGTATACACATGACCTCACTTAGCCCTCAGCGGGTCTGTGAGGTGCTGCTGCCCCATGACCCCCTTTTACTGATGAGAAAACAAAGGCTCTGGGAGGGGAAGGGACTTGCCCAGGACCTCACCGTGCATAAGTGACAGGGCCTCGAATGTAGGCCAACAGCCCCCTGCAGTGCTGCAAGCACAGGGGTGAAGATAGGGCAGGCTCCACTGGAGGCCCAGCGGACGGGGAGCCCCTGCCCACGCCAGGCCCAGCAGGCTGGAACCAGGCCACGGTCCACCCATGGGGACCTTCATCAAGGGGCAGGCACTCCTCGCCTCACCTCAGGCGGGTGGCACCTGGTCCCTGGCTGCTCTCCAGGAGGTCACAGAGAACCTGGGGGACGTGGGGCAGGCCTGTGATTGACAGCTTCCTGCGGTGTGATCCTGGGCAAATCTCGTGCTTCTCTGAGCCACAGTTTCCTCACGAGCAGGAAGAGCACTATGCCTTCCTTAGAGCTCAGAGGGGAAGGACTCGCTGGGTCCTACAAAGGGTCAATGTCGAGCTGAGATTCATCCAGCTTTGCTGCCCCTGAAGCCATGTGCTCAACTGCCCACCTGGCCACCCCCGGTCCTGATCTCACTGGTCTGAGCGGGTTGGAATGCAGGGGAAGGGTGAGAGGAGGAGTGGACGAGGTGTGGGCCCCACTGCCCAGGGATGGACCTTGGTCCTTGCCCTCCAGGGCCGACGACGAGGGAGCTGGAGCAGACCAGCGAGGCCCGGTCATGGCGGCTGGAGAGGGTGGTCAGGGCTGGCTGGGAAGGGCCAGCAGGCGGGGAGTGAGCCAGCAGGGCAGAGGGGAACCAAGAATGAGGAGACTGACCAGAGAGGGCCAGAGGCATGCCCTAGGCCCCCAGGCGGCCCAACAAGCCTGCTCTGGGCTTCCCGTAACACAGGCCGCTGGAGAGTGGCCACAAAGAGGTGATCTCCTCTGGCCACTTGCTATCACCCATCAGCACAGCCCCTGAGGCCCAGGGGGAAGCACTATCTCCCCGGGGCAGTTATGGAGGCTGATGAGAAAGGGAGCTGGCTCCACCCACTCCCATCAGGGTGGGGCGCCCCTGGCTGCACCAACCCCCACCCCCTCATTTTACCAAGGAGGAAACTGACAGACGGGCCAGGGACTGGCCCAACATCACTGGACTCCTTGGAGCCGTTTCTCTCCCCTGACTGCACTGGCTTATACCATTTGTACTAGTGTCCTATGGCTGCTGCCACAAACTGCCACCAACGTGGTGTCTTAAAACAACACAGATTTATTCTCTCACAGTTCTAGAGGCCAGAAGTCCAAAATCAATTTCACTGGGCTGAAATCAATGTGTCCACAGGGCTGGTTCCTTCCGGAGCCCCGAGGAGAATCTGTTTCCTTGGCTTCTTGAGCCTGTCCGTCCACGTTCCTTGGTTTGAGACCTCTTCCTCGCATTCCTCCAGCCTCGTGCTTATGTAGTCACATCTTTTCTTTAGTCAAATCTCCCTCTACCTCCCTCTTATAAGGACACTAGTGATTAATTACATTTAGGGCCCACCCAGATGATCCAGGAAAATCTCTCCATCTCAAAAGCATTAATTTAATCACATCTACAAATTCCCTTTACCAGTCAGCTAACATTCACAGGTTCCAAGGATTAGGACCTGGATATATTTAGGGGCCATTATTCAGCATGCCACACCTTCCCCCACTACAAGCCCTGTTCCCTATTACACACTTTTGCCCATCAAAACCCTTCCCATCCAACCGGATAAAAAATTAGGGAACAGTCTTCCGTGGACCACGGCATACTGTGGAATACTACACAGTCATTAGCAACGGGGAGGGAGAACAGTTACTGATCTGGAATACGTTCACCATAGAGGAGCTACTGTGTGATCTGAATTTTTATTTAAAGAAAAGAAAAACATATCTAGAGAGAGAGGAGCAATATGACACTGTGATCAAGATCACAGACTGTGGGGCCGGCCCCGTGGCGTAGCGGTTAAGTGCGCGCACTCCACTGCCGGCAGCCAGGGTACGGATCCCGGGCGCGCACCGACGCACTGCTTGTCAGGCCATGCTGTGGCGGCGTCCCATATAAAGTAGAAGAAGATGGGCATGGATGTTAGCTCAGGGCCAGTCTTCTTCAGCAAAAAGAGGAGGATTGGCATGGATGTTAGCTCAGGGCTGATCTTCCTCACACACACACAAAAAATTAAAATAAATAAAATAAAGATCACAGACTGTGGAGTCCTCAGGAGATCTGGGTTCAAATCCTGCCTCTGCCACTTACTAGCTGTGTGACACAAGGGAGTTCACTTAACTTTCCTGATGCCTGTTTCTTTGTCTGTAAAATGAGAATATTTGTACCCACCTCATAGGGATATGGTAAGGATTAAATAAGGTAATATATGTAAAGAGCTTGAAACAGTGCTTGCCATGAAATAGGCCCTTTTTAACTGTTAGATATGTATATTTATTATACAAAAATATAAATTTTATATATATACACTATATGTAGGCTACATAAAAATAAACTAGAAGGCTGTACTCCAAAAAACTGTCACGTGGTTACACCTCTGGTTGGTGGGACTGTGAATAACTGGTATCATCTTTTTGCTTACCTGCAAGTTCTATTTATGCACAATAAACATTAATTATTTCCATAATCAAAGTGAAATTTTAAAATTTAACACTTTGACAACAGAAAAAAGCAAACCATAATCCCTGAAGCCCTAGCTGTGGCCGCCCCCCCTCCCAGAGGACCCCCCTGCCTCGCAGGGAGGAAGGATCTGGAGTTCTCATGACTCGCTTCCCTTCTTACTTCCTGGCACTCTTGACCGTGAGCTCTGGAAGCCCGGCTGGGAACAGAGGGAGTGTGTTCGGAGAACAGACAGCAGGCCCCCACCGGCTGCATGTAACGCCCTTCACATGTCAACTCAGCACATCGACTCTGTGCAACCTTCTCATTCTTTTTTTTTTTTTTAAGATTTTATTTATTTATTTTTCCCCCAAAGCCCCAGTACATAGTTGTCTGTCATAGCTGCACATCCTTCTAGTTGCTGTATGTGGGATGCGGCCTCAGCATGGCTGGAGGAGTGGTGCCTCGGTGCGCACCCGGGATCCGAACCCAGGCCGCCGGCAGCAGAGAGCACGCACTTAACCGCTAAGCCACGGGGCCGGCCCAACCTTCTCATTCTTGACGGCACCAACCCCATGGAGGGTAACTGACCCCCAAGGGTTTGCCCAAGGTCACCGCAGGCAGTGGCGGGGTTCCCACCTCAGGCCCTCTGCCACCATCAAAGCCACAGGGGGCATGCTGTGACCTGAGCATGACCAAGATGGGGCAGGGGTTCCTGGCTTGGGGCCCTTTCCCCTGAGAGGCGTGGCTTTTCCTACCTGCCCATCTTCAGACCCTTATGTGAATCCATTTTACAGATGGGCAAAGAGATCTTAGATAACGAAGACTGCCCAGAGAAGATGCAATCCCAGAACTGGCCACAAGGTGGCAGCACCAGGCCTTGTTTGGCCTTGTCACGAGCTTCCCGCACCAGCTCCTACAGGGCCTCGCATCCTCTACCGCCCTCTGGTGGTTATGGGAACACACGCCCAGGGCCCAGCCACCAACATTTGGGAAAACTGAGGCAGGGTTGTCATCTCTTGGCTGGGGATACTCAGTGAAAGAAGCAGGGATCAGTCAGTGCCCCATGGTAGCCTTGGGTTCACTGGCCATTCTCCAGTCCCAGTCCCAGGGAACCGGTCTAGCTAGCACAGTCCTTGGACTTTTCATCAAGGTGACCATTCAGCAGAGGAGCTCGAGGATGGTGCAGGTGGGCTCCTCTCTGCCTGTAGCAGCCCCAGGGAAAAAACCCTAGTCAGAAGTCAGGCCCCCTGGGCCGGCCCAGTGGCTTGGTGGTTAAGTGCGTGCGCACCGATGCTGGTGGCCCAGGTTCGGATCCCGGGCGCGCACCGAGGCACCACTTCTCTGTCCATCCTAAGGCCGAGTCCCACATACAGCAACTAGAAGGATATGCAGCTATGACATACAACTATCTACTGGGGCTTTGGGAGGAAAAAATAAATAAATAAAATCTTTAAAAAAAAAAAAAGAAGTCAGGCCCCTTTCCCCTGCATGGCTCAGCCACCAACCATATCCTCCTCTGCAAAATGTGGAGACAGAAGAAAACATCTCTGAGTCTGTGAAAACAGGGAGAGGGGAGATGGCTGATAGCTGGGGGCCTGGCCTGAACCCGGGGCCTCCTTAGTGGGACTGGGCCTCAAGGGGAAGCCAAGGCTGGGAGACAGACTCTCTGGGCTGAGCAGGAGCAGAGAGGGCAGGGAGCACAGAGTGGGTTGTGGGTGGTGAGACTCTCCCCCGGACCCGATGTCATGGACAGAAGGTGGACACCTTGTCCCAAGCCGGGCACATCAGATGCTCCCTTTGGGGAATTTGGGACTGAGACAGAGAGGCGAGTCAGCCTCCTTGTGCAGCTGGAAAGGTACCAAGTGACCCGGGCAGGTGGCAGGAAGACTGTGAAGGAAAGGAAATTGGGGTGCAGGCAGGGATGTGGGGAAGGCCCTTCCTCAGCACCCCATGGCGCTTCCGGCCTAGTTCCTGACCTGAAGGGGACTCTGGGGTCCACAGGCCACCCCAGGCCCCTGGAGCAAAGGCCCCTCGGGACTTATGACCTGACCAATGAAGCGAGAACAGCATTCTGGACACAGCGGTGGCTCTGGGGACCCTGACACCTGTGGGCCCCCCCAAGGCAGCCTCCACAGCTCCTCATACTGGACTGGCATGGCCTCAGGCCTCGGCTTCTCTCCTTCCTCCCACAGCCCCACACACTCAACACCCACAGGCGGACAGGAAGGGGGAGCCCCCTGGTGCCCCACAGCACAGGCCTGGCCAATGGGTGTGGTGCATCCATGCAGTGGGGCACTCTGCAGCCGTGAAGAACGAGCCAGCGTGACATGCCGACAAGGACAGATGTCCACAAGGGCCCAGGGGCTAGAGCTGGGCTCACTGGCCACCTCAGCAGGTCACTGTGCCCCTCAGCTGCTGAACCGGGGGAACGGGGACCCCCGACCCGGGCTGCTCTGCTCAGAAGGGGGCTCCACCCACAGTCCCCCCGTGCTCCCAGGGCCGGCTTCTCCCTATAGACCCCCATCCCCACGTCCACCCCCTGTGAAGTCCCAGGCCTGAGAGTGAAGCCCGGGGCTGGCCACCTGCTGCCAGGGGGGCCCTGGAAGGCACTGTGCTCTCTGAACCCGGGTCTCCTGTCTGTAGAGTGGGGCTGGAACAACTCCGGCCCCTGCTGAGCCGGCATCTTGCTACGCACTTGACCTCCGTCTTGTCATCGAACTCTCACAACTTCCCCTCGAGGTGGGGGCTATTGTTATGACCATTTGACAGATGAGGAAATGAAGGCACAGAGAGGGGTGTCACCACCCAGACCCACACCCTGGGCCGTCTTCGAGCCTCTCCACTGTGCATCCCATGTTGGGGTCCCAGGGATGACGTGACACAAGCCTGCGAAGCCTGTCACTCCAGTCCTGACATTTAGTAAACAGAGGACAAAATGTAGTTACCCCAGGGCTGGCCGTGGCCTCATCCTGAAGCCTTGCCTGACCGGCACCCCGCACTGCAGCAGGCCACAGACCCCCATTACAGCGCCCCCCAAGGGGAGCCACAAACCCTCTTTATTGCGAACATGACACAGCCCCAGGGCCACCGGTGAAGAGCAGGAACCAGGGGGAGCCAGGAATGAGCCCTCCCTAAACTGGACTGTCCCTGTTTCCCTTGTCCAGGGTGGGAGCCTGACCCAATTCCACCCAGGGTATAGACAAGGCGGCCACTGAGAGCCCTGGAGAACTGCTGAAGAGCAGGGAGGCCCAGGGCAGGGGGTAGTGTGTGTGACCCCTTTGTGCCCTCAGAGGGGCTGTGAACGGAAATCCTGGGCTTTGTCCCCCAACGTCCCAGGGCCCCAGCAGGCGTCCAGTGTCAGAAGGGAGAGGGCTGGGGGGGTGAGGGTGGGCAAGAGGCAGAAGGATCCTGTGCCCACTGCACAGGATTGCCAGGTGCTGGTCCAGCGGCCCTGGTCCCAGGCAGCCTGCGTCTTCCGCTGCCTCCCCATCCTCCCCGCCCTGGGACGCTCCGTTCACCGCGGGGCCTCAGCGATGGCCTTCTCCACCCGCAGGTACCAGGGCTGGATGCGGGTGTGACGCATGAGGTCGTCGAAGGCCTCCAGGCCCTCCATCACACGCAGCACGCCGTACACTGCCTGGGGGTGGAAACAGCACTGTCACCACGGCCTGGCCCAGAGCAGGCGTCAGTGGTGACTCTGTCCCCTGCCAGCTGTGTGTCCTGGGGCCGTCTCCTCCCTCTCTGAGAGCTCCGTGACCCAACGAAGGGCCAGATTTGCACACAGGGCTTTGAATGAAGTGGGTGGGATGACTGCAGGTCTCACCTTCCAGCACCCACACCTCCTTTCTAGGCAATAACCCACCAGGCGTTTCCTCTGGGAAAATGCCTTCCCCATGCTCAGGTCCTGAGATCTGGGGAGAAGGGACCCCACCAGCCAGCTCCAAGACCCAGACCTGGCAATCAACAAATTCCATCCCCGCTGTAGGACTGCTTCAAGGATTGGCACTGAAGCCAGGCCAATGAGACACTGTCCCAAGACTTCTGCTGGATGGAAGGCTGGAGCAGTGACCCAGGCCTGCCTCAGGCTAAAGCCAACTCCAAGGAGATGCTCATGGAGAGTCTGAGCCCTGGTAACACCACTCAGGCCCTGGATCCAGCTGGGCCTGAAGCCAAGCCCTCCCCTGAACTCGTCAGTTATGTGAACCAAAACAGTTCCTTGTAGTTGGTTTTCCTTAAGATGGGGCCAGGTGCCTCCGAGGGGTGGGAGAGCTGGGAGATGTAGGTATTGCCTACAACTGGGCATTCCTGCCTAGGCCCCGCTGACCCCAAGGGCAGGCCCCTCAGTCTGTACACACACCCCCACTACCACACTCACCAGATCAGCCAGGTTCGGCTTCTGGCCCCCCATGAAGGGCCGGTCTTTGCCCACAGCTGCCACCCACTTGTTGGCGGCCTCATAGAGGTCCTCACGCACATCGTCCTGGAGGTGGTGCCTGGGCGGGAACGGGGGAAGTCCATCAGGGGAACTCTGTCCCCGGGGTCCGGGGGGCGAAGCGGGAAGGTCTGGGGGCCAGGGCTGCTCTCGGGGTGGGGGTGGGGGGACACTGTACCTGCAGAGCCCTCAGTTCCCATCCGCCCCAGATGGGGAGGGCATGGACCAGGGAGGATGAGAGAGAGAAACAGAGGAAGGCACAGGCAGGGACCAGCTCTGGACGCCAAGGCCAGCCCTGCTTCCCGGGGGTGGGGAAGGTGATCAGGAGTTCTGGGTTCAAGTCCCGACTTGGCTAATGCCAGGGAGTTGGGGACAGCAGCCCCCCAGGCGCCTGCACACACACACACGTGAACACAGACATGCACACATACACACACGTGTGCCATCACCTCCTCTTGAGCCGCTTGCTGATGACGTACATGGCAGCTGCGCCCATGTACTTGGCCAGGGCGCCCTCCACGACCCCGAACTTGCCCTCCCTGACGATGTAGTCGAAGGAGGCCAGCGCCTCGGCGGGTGTGCGGTACACGTTGGGGGAGATCAGGTGCACCAGCCAGTCATCCGCCCACTGCCGCCACTTCATCTCCTCCCTGCGGGCCGGGGGGGACAGAGCGCTGGCCGGTGGGCTTCCTGAGCCGGGGCCTGGGAGGTGCTGGAGCAGACGCACTGTCTAGACCGCCCAGCGTATGGACGGGGGCCGAGGCCCCAGCAGCAGGTCCATACAGAGACTCAGCCCCGACGCTCATGGTCGCCCACACTGCTCCCTTTCACACCTTCCTGCTCAGCCTGGTCCCCCCTGGAAGACCCCGCCCTCGCCACGGCCCGGAGCCAGCCCCAGCCCCACTCACGTCCTCGCCTCCTTCCCTCCATACATCCGCTGCGCCTCCTTCTCATCCAGCATGAGCCAGTACTTGTTGCAGAACTCAGTCACCTCCTTGCCCTGGTCATTCATGGCCTTCATGGGCGGATAGTAGGTGATGATGTCTTCCAGGGACTGCCTTTGGGAGACAGCCAGAGTCTCATCCAACTCCTTCCTCCTCCGGGATACTGAGCCCTCATCTCCTTAGGGGGAGTGACTAACCCAGCCTGTCCCAGCCCCAGGTGGAGCCAGGACGGGTCCACAAAAGCTTTCCATCCTCTTGCGCGTGACACAGCAGGTCCTGCAGCAAGAGGGATTTGGGGCAGACACCAGGAGCACTTCCCTGACAAAGGGAGATGTGTGGAGAAGAGACGGGGGAGGCTCAGAGTAGCACGCCCACGGCCCATTCTGGAAATCTAAGCAGCAGCCCCATCCTGCTCTCATGGAGGAACTCAGGGGAGGCCCCCCTGGAGACAGGAGAAGGGATGAATGCAATGCCCGCCTGGGCCTCCGGGGGTGCTCTTACCCTGACACCAGGTGGGTCTTGAGGGCACTAATGATGACCGAGGAGTCATTCAGTTGTTGCTGGAGAAGAGTTGGTTTAGGTCAGGGGAGCTGCCTAGCCACCGGCAGGTCACTGGGGGCTCGAAACAACACCGACCCCAGGCACCCGTGAACACTGGGCAGGTGGACCATCGCTGGGGGCTCACCCCTAAAACTGATGCCCTCCTCCTAAGACCCAGTCCCTGCCCTCAGGACGGCCCATCACAAGGGAGACCCGAGTGTGGCTAACGGGGAGGAGGGTGTGGGGAGGACCCAGAGGCTGGGCCCTGGCCCACTCACCCGCTGGGCCTCCCGAGCACTGAGGGGCAGGATGGACTTCAGAAGCTACATAATAGGTGCCAAGCACTGTGCCAGGCATTTCATATCTGTTGTCCCTACAACCAGGAGAGTATAGTCCTCGATTAATGAAGAAGGAAGCCCAGAGAGGCTAAGTGACTGGCCCCAAGTCACACAGCCAGTGAGTGGCAGAGCCACACCTCGAACCCAGATCACCCAGATTTCAGAGCCCACCTTGTTAGGCTCTGTGGTGCTCTGCCTCCCTAAACCCGACTGGGGTTTGGTGTTGGTGGAGAAGAAGGGAGCCTACATTTATTGAGCATCTATTGTAATCCAGCTACTTTGCCCTCAGAATCCTCAGCTGAGGCCCAGGGAGCCCAAGTTCCTTCCAGGGCTGTAGAGCAGGGCCCCCTCTGGAGGATTCCGAGACAACCCAGGACAGGGCTCCCGGAGCTCACCAAGTTGTCTCCCTCCTGTGCCAGCAGGATGGGCACCTTCCTGTAGGAGGAGAACTTGATCTCGGCCTTGCGCACGGGGTTCACCTCCACCACCTGGTAGGGCAGGGCATGGAAGTCGAGGAAGGCGCGGACCTTGCTGCAGAAGGGACACGTTTTGTACTGGTACAGGGTCAGCTGCAAGCGGCCGGACAGGGAGAGCTGGGTGGTGAGCAGAGAGGGGGGGCTTCTGAGGCCTGGTGCCCAGGCCTGCTTCCAGACCCAGGCCCCGCCCCCAAGCCAACAGATTTCCCAGGGCGGTTTCCTAGGATGACCCTGAGAACATTGGGAGGAATGGGGGGTTGGTGGCAGGGAGAAAGGGAGACGCAGGGAGGTGGGGAGCAGGCTCGTGCAGTGGACAGACAGCCCAGGCTCAAGCACCCATCCAGCTACGGGGAATCTTCCAGTCTCTGGCCGACACTGGACAGACACTTCTCCTCTCCCTCCTGTCCCAAGGGAACACCAGACACCAACAGGTGTGCTCCCCCAGACGCAGAATTATTTCAACTGGGAGTGCCCATCCCCACTCCCTCAACCCCAGGGAGCTCTCGGTGAGGCGGCAGAGCCCAGTGTCAGCCAGAGTGGGGTCTACCTCAAATCTCCAGGAGGGAGGGCTGTAACCAGGCCAGGGCCCTGGACCCCGCACATTCAGCAGGAAAGCCCCAGGTGAGCCTGCAGTGTACCCGCGTTGGAAAGCCACAGCTCAGTCCACCTCCCTCCATGTTCAGACGGGAAACAGGCTGGCCCAAGGGGTGGGTAGGGAGATACAGAGAACACCACTCCCCTTCCACCCACCCCTATACCTCCTGCATCAGGAGAGGGACCGCTGTGGGTGGGTGGTGGGGTGGGGTGGGAGCAGAGAAAGGCTGTGTTGCGGCTGTGTGTAAAGCATCTCAAGGGCAGCTGGGCCACCATCGGCTGAGGGACACCTCCCTGTTCCTCCCTGTCTGGCGCCTGGAGTCTAAGAGTCATCGGTTCCATAAAGATACTAATAACAATACTAATAAATAAATACACAATCTTAGGATTTGGGGACAGTGGCAGGGGGACGACAAAATGTTTGGAAAGCGATTAAACTGTGAAAGAGGCTTTCTTTCCCTTTTCTACCATCACCAAATCTTTCCGTTAAAACACGTTAGAAAAACGACTTTAAGGCAAAGACAACAATTCGAGTTAGCAAGCATCAGCAGAGCCCCCATTTCACAGATGAGGACGCCGAGGGCTCGGAGGCTTAAAACCGAGTTACTCGCCCAAGGTCACAAGCGGACGGAGGAAGCGATTCCTGTCCCCGCCGGTTCCCAGAAGTCCCGAAGTGCAGCACTGACACCAAGGCCCCTACCCGCGGCTCGGCCCGGCCCGGGCTTACCTGCACGGCCGAGAGTTCGGCGCGGAGGTCCTGGGCGCGCAGGTGCCACCGCGCCGTGTGGTACAGCCCCAGGGCGCCCCCCAGGGCCAGCGCCGCCGCCCCCAGAAGCCGCGGGCTCCCCTTGCGGGCGGTGGCGGCGGGGCCCGGGCCTCCCGCCGCCCCAGCGAAGCTGGCCTGGCCCTGCACAAGAAGTCCGGGCGGGGGGCGACGGCCCAGCCCCCAGGCCAGAGCGCGCCCGCCGGGCCACAGCGCCCGCGCAGCCAGGGCCATGTTTTCTCACCGGCGCCGCGGGCGGGCGCGCGAAACCAAGACGGTCCGGGCTCAGACTCGTCTTAAAGGACCGGGTCTCCGACTCCCGGCGAGTTGTCAGGGCGACAGGGACGCCGACCGGGGAGGACAGGCCTCCCGGGACTAGGTGTGCATGCCGGACGCCCAGCTTCCACATACCGGTCAGAGCCACAGAAACACACCGGGGATGTCTGGGAGTCGCTAAATGCCCCGGTTTCTGAACATGTAGATGGTGGTGACCCGGGCCGAATGCAGGGAACTCGGCCATGTAGCTTGCTATGTGGCCTCTGAGTGTCAGCGTCGTCTGTAATATGTGGCTAGTAATTTCTATTTCATGCACCCAATCGAAAGAGACCGAACCCTTCAGAGTGTCAGGGAAAGGGTCACGGCTTTGGGACCATAAGGGTCACGGAAACGGCCCGCCCCGCCCCATTAGTGGCCGGGCGCCGGCGACTAGGGCTTTGTGCCCTCCCGCACTGCTGCGCTGTTTCTTCTGTGACTCGAACCATAAAAGTTTCCTTACACAGAGGGGGCCTTAGAAACCACGTGCTTCAGATTTCACCCACGCGGAGGCGCCGGCTCTCAGACCCGCAGGTCCCCAGCCGTAGGACGAGGCGGGGAGAGGGAGTCCTAGGTTGCCCGTCTCCCCACGCCGGGCTCGCTCGCCCTAGCTGAGGGTCGGAGCCTCAACCACGTAGGCTTCTCCGTGGGCAGCCCCTGGATAGCCCCGCCGGGCCGCTGGGGGAGGGGCGGTGCACAGGGAGTGGGCGGAGATCTGAAGGCAGGCCGGGTTGGGGGCGAGGCGGGGCGGGGGGCGGAGTCTGACGGCCGGCGGGGGCGGGGCTCTGGGAGTGGGGCGGGGACAGAGCTCTGCTCGCCCGGGTAGGCCGGAGAGCTGGGCGGGGCGGGGGCGGGGCTGTGGGGAGGGGCGGAGTCTGGCGGCGGACGGGGTGGGGGCGGAGCTCGGGCTTCAGGGCTCCCGCCTTGAACGGGGGCGGGGCCCGCGTTCAGCCGCGCCCTTCCACTCTTGCAGCGCCAAGTTCAACCCACCGCCTCCCCTTTCCGCCGGGCCCGGTTCCATTGTCGCGCGGCCCTTGCGGCGCCCGAGCCCGCAATGTCGGGCTGCAACGGGGACCTGGGCGTGCCGGTGGAGGCGGGCGCGAAAGGTGAGGACGACGGCTTCGGGGAAGCCGGTGACCCGGGGGGGCTGCTGAAGCGACATTTGCTTTCTCAGGAGTGCCTTCTTGGAAAGGGGGATCAGAGCTGGTATGGGGGCTTGGAAGGGACCTCAGAGCCTTCCCCACCCTTGGGCGAGTCGCGAGCTGCAGGTGCCGTCTCGGGGTTCAGGGCGAGCACTTCGAGCGGGTACCCGGAAACCGCAGCGTTCGAGAATTGTGAGCAACTGGCCCCGTTTTACAGATGGGGAGACTGAGGCCGCTTCAGGGACACTCGCCCTTTTGGAATTTGCTCCAGTCACTTCCTTCAGCCCCTGTGGAGACGGAGGCTCCTGAGGGGGCGGGGCCAGTGGCCTGTCTTGGCTGAGCAGAAGGGGCTGTCTGGGTGGGCGCGCCTGCCCTGCTGAGTCAGCATCCGCAGCCCCTTTTGCTGGTGAGGCCTGGAGCCTTTGCGACTGTGACTTGCTTACAAAGCAGCCTGTTGCCTGCACAGCACTCGAGGGTTGGGGGGTGGAGAGAGAACCATCAGCTCCCTTCTCATCTTCTCAAGCCTCGGTTTCCCCATCTGTAAAATGAGAATAATGATCAGTGTGTCCTGTTGAGATGTGTCAGGATTAAATGGGAAAACGAATGGAAGAGGCTGGAGGCTGGAGAGGCTGGTTCCTTAGAGACCCCTGTTTTTTTACCCACCTGGCAGTTGCTCTGCCCTAACATGGGTGTTTCAGCCTTTGCCAAATATAACAAGGAAACCCAATGGGCAGCCCCTCCGCCAAAATACTCGGCACAGTTCTCCCTTTGTCCTCCTGGCCAAAATTGGGCGGAGCATTAGGGCAGGCCCACACCTCTTGGCTTGCCATTCAGTGCTCACTGCCCGTCGTCCCTACACTGCTTCTTCCTTACTTCATTCCAGCCAGGGGCCTCCTGTCTGTGGCCAGCATTGAGCACAGCCCTGCCTCATGCCCAGGGGACCTCAGGGCTGTGGCTGAGCTGGGCGGAGCCCTAGGCCCAAAATGAGCAAATCCCAGAGATGGCTGTGCTCTTCCCTGTTCCTGTGGGACATCTGGGGACAAGTGGCTGAGATCCAGGTTTCTCATACAGAGGGGAGGACGGAGCCTCTGTCCAAGTGTAGCCCAGATCCTATCTGCCCTAGAGCCCTGTTCTGGACTATCACTTCTATGACCTCCTGTTGGTATCTGACCCTGGTAGCCCGTCTCCTCCTGGACACATGCCCTTCCATGTGACCCTGCCTCTCTTTGTTTTCCTTCAGCCTTTCTGGAAACACTTCCCTGGATACCAAGGAAAGTCTGAGAAACTGTCACAGCCAATAGGAGCCTAGAGGCATGACAACTAAATGTAATGTGGTGTCCTGATGGGATCCTGGAACAGAAAAAGGACATTATGTGAAAACTAAAGAAATCTGAATAAAGTATGGACTTTAGTTTATAATAATAATTGATCAATAGTGGTTCATTAATGTAACAAATGTACCACACTAATGTAGGATGCTAATAATAGAAGAAACCGGGTTCAGGGCATATGGGGACTGTGTATACTATTTTCACAATTTTTCTGTAAATCTAAAACTATTTTAAAATTAAAAGTTTATTTTTAAAAACTTGTCATATTGTGCGCCTTGAATATGCGTACTTTATTGCATTGTCTGGTGTTCTCTTTCTGGCAAGATTTGTCCCTGATTTAATTTCTGTGATGGTTATGGAGCAACTTCCTTTTCCTTCTGGCATCCGTTTTGGTAAATTACAACTTGCTGCGACATTTCCCGTTTTATTACTTATAGCATTCTCTTATCCTTTAATGTCTATAGAATCTATAGGTATATCTCTTTTTTATTTATACTTCTTCTGTTATTTGTGCCTTATATCTTTCTGTCTTGAGAAATTTTTCCAAATTTCTATCTATGTTATTAGTCTTTTCCAAGAGTCGACTTTTGGCTTCGATATTCCTATGGTAGCTTTCTATTTTATTAGTTTCTGCTCTTAATTTCATTTTCTCCTTCTATTGTCTTTGGGTTTCTTCTGTGGTTTTCTTTCTAAATTCTTACTTTGGACACTTCCTTCATGACTTTGCAGTCTTTCTTACTCTGAAACACACACTTGAGGTTGTGCATGCCCCTTGTTTACTGTGAGCCCGGCAGTAAGAGTCAGTTTCATCCTAGATCCTGTGGTCTGGCTGGCGGGGCCTTCAACGGGTCCAGATTGCTGTTCAGCCAGGATTGCTTTCACAGGGCTCCTCCCCAAGGTCCACTGGGGCCCCAGGAAGACCAGGCCCCCGGCCTGCCCTTGCCAAGTAGCAGCCTTCCCGGCAGCCTACCACTCCGCTGTCCAGCAGGGGCTGATGCAGCCATCTCTTGCCTTTTGACTTTTCTTGGCAATAGTCTGACTGCAATCCACAAGCTCCAAGGTCAGAAGTCAGCTCCTCACCTTCCCAGTGATTCTCTAAAATGGCCCTGACTGGGCAGGAGGCGGGGGAAGCAGCTCCCTCCCTCCCCTGCTCCTCGTGGGGATAATTAGTAGATAGAAGGGGAGGCCTCTGGTCAGCAAAGAGAAGGATGCTGAGGCCCATGAATACCAGGCAAGCCCCTCTGGGGGTCTTCCTCTTCCCTCCGCTCCTAATACAGCACACACTTGGAGAGAGCACTTGGTGAGCACTTGGGAGCCTGTAGGAGCCCTTAGCCACACAGGTGGCAGGAAGAGGAGGAGACAGTGGCAGAAGGGCAGGGCTCCCATGCTTCAGCCACAGGACCTGCCAGGGCACCCAGGAACCCTGCCTGGGACAACTGAGCCCTGAAGCTCCTCAGCCCCGGGAGGCTAGGAGTTCTCTGAGCAGCCCGGCTGCAGCTGCTTGCATAGGCCGGCCCACGCAGGACCTGGGGCCGCTCCTGAGACGAACCCAAGTCCCTTTGTGAGCAGGCCTGGGGTGTGGGGAGAAGATCTGTGTGTCAAGTGGACTATGGTAGGCTAAAAAATGGCCCCCCAAAAGATATTCATGTCCTAATTCCTAGAACCTGTAAATATAACTTTATTTGAAAAAAGAGTCTTTGCATCTATGATTAAGTTCAGATTTTTTTCTTTATTACTACTCTTTTTTGTTTCATAACAGTTAATGTCCTAATGCCTGATTTTTAAGGTGGACAAATTAAATGTGTGCATTACTCTCTTCAAAAGCAAACAAAACAAGCTATTCTTTTTCTTGGTATGGCCCAGATTTTTTCTTTTCTTGAAGATTGACAATGTTCTCGTTCCTGATTTGTAATATGATACAGAGTGCATGCTGTTTTCAAATTTCTAAGAGAAGAATAAAATTATTTTCACAACTCACCAATATTTTAATAGTAGAAGACGGGTGTTCTAAACCAATGATGGGCCTTTCCCTTCTTTTCCTTCTCCTGTCTGTCTTTCCTTCCTTCTTTGCCTCCTTATTATTCCACCTTTTAAATAAGTTGGGATTTTGCCATGAGGAGATCATCCCGGGTTATCTGGGTGGGCGGGAAATGTCAACACAAGTGTGCTGGTAAGGGAGAGGCAGAGGGAGATCACACACAGAGGAGACATCATGTGAAGACAGGCAGAGACTGGAGTGGTGGGGCCACAAGCCAACAAACGCCAGAAGCTGGAAGAGGCAGGAAACAGTCCTCTAGGGCCTCCGGAGGAGTGTGGCCCTGCCCACACCTTGACTTCGGCACAGTGAATTTCTGATTTTGGACTTCTGGCCTGTGACATGTGTTGTCTTAAGCCAATAAATTTGTGGTAATTTGTTATAGTAATTTGAAGATTTGGGAAATTCTCAGCCTATCCAGATTGCAGAAGATGCCAAAAGTAAGAAATTCACTGTTAGGAAAGCATGCTCTGGAGAGAAGGCCCAGGTGTGGCTGGGTAGGG